TTACAAGTGAGAGGAGGTGGGTGTATTGTGATCTTGGTGTTATTGAGTGCTGGTAATGTAATTCGCCGAAAATTTCGTTGAATAAATGTACATGTCTCAAATTATGTCAAAGTGTCCGGCGTTTATGTTAACAACTGCAGTGTTATTTTATACAATCGAGACATACGTGGAACTTCATCGACTAAATCGATCAGATATGAATTTTTATATATATATATATATATATATATATATATATGTATATATATGTATATATATATATATAATATAAATCGGTACATATACAATGCTGCACGGTGTATTATTATGTCCTTTTAATATTCGAACACTGTATTTACCTTTCTTTGATGATTTATATATAATTTAACAGTGTTAATATGGCTATCTTGATTTATATTATATGCAACTATTTGTTTCTAGCCATACATTTTTTATAATATATATAGTTTTTTTTATATATTTTTATATAATATATTTTTTTAATAAAATATTTACTAGTTTATAATTATATAATTTTTTATACAATAAATAATATTTTATATATTATATAAAAAATTATATATTACAAACATGTCAATTTTTGCTAAATAATAAGTGAACACGTGCGAAATGTTTCTCCGTGTACCCACAATGCATTTCGACCGGATGTTCCAGTATGTTGGTGGCCATCCCAAAGCAAAGATCGTATAGCGCCGCTACGCGTAGCGGCGCTATACGATCTTTGCCCAAAGTAGGTCACGACAGTAATGGAGTTCATTCAGAAATTCAATGTTGATGCATTTGCTGAATCCTCGGTGTCTTTGGCATTATTTGGAAACGTTAAAAATGCAGAGGAAATAAAGAAGCATATCGGTAGTGGCAATATAGATGCAGCAATTGTATCTCCGGTCTTGGTGAGATAAACAACTTTAGGCCTGAGCCTAGCTGTAGTTAGGCCTAGGCCTAGACCTAGTAGCCTAGGGAATTGTGTGAATACATTACAGGCTAACTCGTATCCAATGTTTAGTTCACTCGTACCCAAATTTTGGCTGGCTGGTAGCCGTAGTAATAATCGGCTAGCCCGTACCCAAGTTTGGTGTGTAAGATCTACTGTAATAGGCCTAGGCTAGGTCTACCTAGAATTTCAAACATGGAAAAATTATTAATATTATCTATTTTTATAGTCATTATGTCTGTTAAACTATATATAGGCCTCTAGTCTTAACGACAAACTTGCAAATTAGAAGATTTTAATACCGCTGTGGCTATTTTTACGAAGAGTCGTGAAAATAGCCTCCAATGCTAGTATTCTTCTTACGATGATGGGTGGCACGTGTGCGTTTAACATTTTCTCTATGGTTTAACATACTCGTCGGGGGAAACTTGAACTGAGTGCTTCGCAACTGTCTATAGGCCTAGATAAAGCCTAAAGGTCACATCATAGCTCAGACTCGGTAGAGGCCATGTAGCCTGCGCACAGTGGGCTAGCTAGGAGTAAACTTCAGGAGTGGATTAGCGTACATCATTTAGCCTACAATTTAAATTTTGTACATGATAGGCTAGGGAAAAAAATTAAAAAGAAGCTTAAAAATCATGTTCAGGGGAGTGGAATGTAAGAAGCAGTAAACATAACTAGATTTCCTACTGTAATTAATCCCTCCTGGTCACCCTAAACCCTGTTTAGAGTATAAATAGAACAAGAGAATCAACGACGCTCATTGAGAGCGTAAAAAACGATACGCAGCTAGTGTAGGACGCCAACTAACGCTTGTATGTACTTTTTATTTACCCAGTACTCCACCGCGCATGGTCGGTTTGTCTGTTTATCTGTTCTCCACAAGATACAGTACTTTTGTTTTCTACTTTTACTGAGTTCATAGCGGGCGTACTTCTATCGCGCTGCGCTGCACTGGGTAATAAAGTACATACAACCGTCAGTGGGCGTCCTACGCAGGCGTGATGTTTTCAAAAGCGGGAGTACGCCCTCTTGTTCTATTTATTTGCTTGTATACAAATGGTGGCCATTTTTAAAAATGCCCGCCAAATTTATCTAAAATATCCGTGAAATTGGAATTAAATAAGCTACAGATATGACTTTGCTGTCTAAACTCATAATTTCACAGGCAAAAACTAGGCATATAAAAACTACTGTCACTCAAGCCAGAATAGAACATAATAGGTGTTTATTTGTTTTAAAATAACCGCAAAATATACGTAAAATGTAGATAAAATAAGAATAAGTATATAAACTCACCAAAGTTAGTCAGGTTTGGTACCATTGGAAAGCTCTTGCGATGCTGAATAATGTTTTGCATTTTACACATATTAGTGTAGTTTTTCATATATTGTTCTGTAAATTCCAATAATGGCATACCGTGTTAAATTGACGGGACCCAGTTGCTCGGGGGTGGGGGGTAGGGGCTCCTACTACTACCTAGCACGTTACTACCAAGCCTTGTAACGCATGTGCTTTCTGGGTGAAGTCCAAATGGGAGAGGCCACATCGGCCCTTCTTACTACTGATACTACACAGCACTCTCCTACAACACCTTCACAATACGTAACCTTTTCTATAATTCAAAAAAACCAAATAGACCAAAATCACACAAATACACTCTGTGGCAGATTTATTAAAAGGGATTCTTCCAACTATGCCCCAGCTTTTTACTATGGAGGTTTGACCAGTTATGTAATGTCTGTGTGCTTTCTGGGGAAATGCTTAGTTCCTCCACGTCCAAATATGTCCCGGAAACGTCATGGGCCCCACTTAATACTTTTACCGACTAATCTAATAATATGAAGCTTTTGACAATATATTTTCTTTTAATTTTCAAAAATATACAAGCCGGCAAATACATGTCAATAAATAAAGAATTAAGTAAATGGTTATTCATTATAGTAGGCCTATTACTAAATACATATACTATACACAGCATGTTAAAATCGATTAAAATAATGTAATAATTTGTAATACTAATAATTCAGATATATTTGGACGATAAACTCTTGCAACATCATCGATTGGACCTTAAAGGACGATGGTCATTTTATTCAGATTGACCTTATCATGTTTCAGATCAACATAATATGTGCTATTGAAGTGACACCTTATTAAAATCAATCAGTGAATTTTGTTAATTAAACATCGTCATTGATATTTTCAAGCCTATTAGATTACCTGTAGAAAAAGTGATCTAAAAGTCATAGGCTTACAACTATTATGGCGAAAGTAAAGTAGTAGCGAAAGTAATAGAGCCTATTATTAAATGTTGAAATGGTACCTTATAGATTTATAGCCATGGAACAGAGCAGCTCAACTTAGTTGCCTAAACTGGTGGTAGCCACTGTGTGCGCTGAAACATGGGGATCTCAGACTAGGTCTCCGATTCGATTCAAATCATTCTTTTATTGCAACACTCAAAATGGGTTAAATTTTACAAAAGTAAAGGGTTCAAGCAGAAAAATATAAACAACATTTAAAAATTTGTCAACATAAACGACCCACATCACAAAAACAGCAAAAGGAAACAGGTTCAAAGGGCAAAAAATGCAACCAATGTATATAATTATTATTATTATTATTATTATTATTAACATATTATTATTATTATTGTAATTATAATTATTGTAGTGAGATATTATAGTTATTTTAAATACTGATTTAAAAATAATCAAAGCAATCGCCTCTGCAGGAAATTCTTACCAGCCTTGTAACAAACCAAAATTTAAGATGAATTTTTGGGACGATAAATTCTTTAGGTTTTCTAAGGTGGTAGTTGGAAGGGGCTTTTAGAAAGGAGGTGGTGTTATCAATTCCCATCGCTGCTCTACTTGTGTTTCAGGTTGGGGTGCTGAAATGCAAGGTATGATAGCGCGTATTTAGGATGAGACATTTAACCTGTTGGTCCTGTGTTGCACGTAAAAGAATGCAGTATGCTAATTGAAAAAGAGTAGGGGATTGTTTCCTGGTGTACAGTGGCTTAATAACTATGCTTTCTCGTGTGGCGGTCCGCTTAAATTTGCCAATTGTTTTAAAAATGGAGATAAAAGGAAAATTATACTCGCATTTTAAGTCTGTGAGTGCCATTTCCGGCCACTTATGCCATAATCAAATGTTCTTAATTTAGCCCCAACCATGCTGGGGCTGAGGTGGCATAGATCTGTGAAGGTCCCTCCCTCCACCTATTCCCTAGTGTATTTTAAATAACTTGATCTGCAACTGATATCATATAATTTATTTCATTGTTAAAGACAATCTAGAATACAATGCCAAATATTAGAAAAACGAGCACATCTAAAATCCCATCAAAATGGCTGATCAAAAAGGGGCCCCCAGTCTCAGAAAGCCACAGGGCCCCCGGACCCATTGTTGCACCACTGCTGGTGTACTGTACTGCCCAATCACCACCAGAAGGACCTTACTGGAAACAAGTATTCTTCAGACTTTTGTGGGTTATCCTTGGTGTTTGCACCGAATATATCCACTGGATATAGAGAAAGAATTTTGTTTAGAAATGGTGGAGACCACAGACATTTAAAAAACCTGGCTTGTTTTAAAGTAGGCCTACCGTGTGATGTCATGCTCCCTTCTTTCTGGAAATTTTTCTCTCTTTTTCCTCTATTTTTGGTGGTTGGGATACTGTAGACCCTGTGTGTCCTGGACCTGCCCTTGAAACGATTGATTGAAATTCAATCAATCGTTCATTCAATGAATGTTTGTTTGATAATGCTATATTTATATTAGCAAAGCTACAGTACATTGATGGAACTTTAGATCAATATATTCATGATTGAGCATGTAACTTATGCAAGCTAATGAAATGCACATGCATAGGCATACTATGTAGACCTACAGTATATGTTGCATGCAAATGTTCAAATTAAAAATGTGTGTGCAAAATATTAGTCACACAATATTTTTTGGCATTGTCTAATAATTAAAGTATTTTCCATCCTTAATACCTGTAGGGGGATTACCCACCCCGGTCACTTCGTGAGCAAAAATATTTTACTGATGTGCAAGGTGCTCCTAACCCCATGCCTATTAATATTTTAACAAATCAGTCAGCCAATCAAATATACATTTATACAGCATGTAACATAACTGTACCATTGTTCATAGTTGCTGCAAAGCAGCCAATTCATATTCTTGACAGCAATTTGACCTCTTAAAGGTCATTGTTTGTCAAAAAACAAGGGCCTAAGACGACTGAAAAGCGGAGTTTCCTTCTTTCGTTCTGCCGGGTAAAATCAATTACTTTAGGCGACGTTTGTAGACTAACATACTCGTACCAACGTCCGCATGTCGCGCTAGCCTTATCCTATTCTAGGCCTAGACTAGCTAGGATGGTATATAGGCCTAGCCTTGAAGGGACGAAGGTCCCAATGAAAAACAACGTCGCTCTTTGATAGCTAACATAGTCTATCACAATAATTCATAATTAAACCTATAGTTGTTTTTTTAATTGTACTCCACAAATCTCAGCCGATACCTCGCACAACTCGAGTAACATCTCATATCTATTGTCGTGACATCATGGCTCGCTGGCTCACACTTTGGCAACACTCTTTTGCAGTCAACTCGCCCCTAGAAAACCTGCCCCATAAAAAAATGTAAACTTCCTAGACCATGCAGTCTTCAAAAGAAAAATTGTAACCTTTGGTAATCAACTACATTTTCCACATACATAGAAATTTTTGAAACTTTATTAAAAAAAAACCTAAACCATAATTCACCACTATAGACACTTTTTGACAAAAATGAAAAATTACGACTTTGTTACCCAATGAGAAGTGTTCTAATATAGACAATGGGTCGTGTCTCATATTATTTGTTATATTTTTATTATTCATTATTTTCACTTGACTCGCATAAATAATTTTGTTCAAAGAACATTTATATGCAGTTGTACTTCGCAGCACTTCACTTGCAATTTGCAATTTCTAGTTTACAAGTATTTACTGTATGTAGAATCATCAATAAATAGGAAAACACAACATATTTGCCTTGGCCACTGTGAAGTAAGAGTGTGGCCCCTGGCCTATTCAATATCATAACAAAAAGCATGGTCTTGACATGACATAGGCCTAGAAACTGGAAGGTCCATTGATTAAACTCAATCTCTAAATGAAGTTTACTCCTAGCTAGCCCGCTGTGCGTAGGCTAACTGGCCTCTACCAAGTCTGAGCTATGTGGCCTTTCTCTAGGCTTAGGCCAAAAGACATTTGCAATGCATTCAGTTCAAGTTCCCCATCGTAAGAATAACAATGGGGGCTTTTTTCATGAATCGTCATAAAAATAGCCACAGTGTTTTAATACAGCAGGAATTTAAATTTATAAATTCATGATCGTTGAGGCCAACTGCCTCAAGCAAGACAACATAACTCATTTTTGTCGATTTTGCGATAATATAATTTGAGAGTATGTTAAACACTTCTGAAATACCTGTGAAAATTTCAGGTCTCTGTAGGTTTTTTTTAACCAATTTTCTTTTTATTATTCTCAAAAGTTCTGTTAATTCATTCATTCTTCTTTTTTTCATTATATTTTACTACTTGCCTTTCTTTTGTTTCTTTTTATTTTACATTCCTTTTCTTTCATTTCTTTCTTTATCCTTTCATTTTCTTTTTTGCGATAATATAATTTGAGAGTATGTTAAACACTTCTGAAATACCTGTGAAAATTTCAGGTCTCAGAGATAGATCGAATGCCAGAATGCAGATGCATGTATAACAAGGCCGATTTATCTTCGCCCTATTCTTGTATTGTGAGTGAAATAGTACTTTCGTTTGTCGTTTAAATGTAAAAATGCTCTGTGCACTAATGTTCTGAAATGTTTTTGGTACGTTTGATAATTATTCCATGCTTGTATTACAGTCTTGGCAAATCCGACTAACAGATGGTCACTAACAAGCACTTAGGCCTACTATTTTTATACTATTGAATTGCTCACGTTTTATTCTGAATTCACAGTTTTTGTCTCCAGTTCAGGTTTTGTATTTAATAAGAAAATTACTGTATATTTGTAATTGAATTTTGTTGTGATTGTACTTGTAGGCCCAAAATTTACGATTTATATTGTAAATGGGAGTAGCTATAATTGTTATTCATCATAAAATTTAAATTATCTTTACATATCTACAGTAGGTGTCAGAAGGTGCACAAATCATTGGTGTAGTAGTGACAAGATTATTCACCATTTGTGTATAGTTCAAAACTCACTTTCTTATTAAAGCAAGTGGAAAGAATAACAATTGAATTACGAATGACTAAGATAAGATAAATCATTATTTTTATGAACGTAGATATGTTTAATTTTAAATTGTTAACCTAAAAATCAATTTATTACGACTGCTGCACATAAGGCTATAGGATTTTCCCCCAGAACCCACCAGGGCTTTTCCCCTGGCTTCCAGAAAGATTGAGCCTCAGCCGAACACAATAGTTAACTCAAAATAGGAAATTTTTAAGTAATTCGTACATAACTCGCACAGGCTGTTGTTTGCATGAGCGGATCTTTATCCGCTCGAACTGGCATTCCTTCAAAGTAAATTCCGCTCGAATTGACTGGTTCCTGCACCACTTACTATATCTTTAAGAGCAAAACTTAAAATTTAGTGGTATGTTTTGTGGTACAACAACGTACTGTAACTGCAACGCAAACATGGAAACTTTAAAAAGTTTAAAGTTACGTTGTTTTCCACAGAACAGCAGAGGCATCAAAAATATATAGAGATATACATAGGTATATGTATTTTAAGTTTAGTGCACATAGAAATTAAGAAATATTTTTAAAATTATTAGATTTCGTATTGGTAGACATTTGCCAGACTGTGAAATAAGGCCTGCATGAGAAATATATCCTCGGCACAAAACTTTAGCCTACAGTAGGCATTTTTTAAAATAAGGGTTGATTTCCGCGAAGATTTTCAACATAGTCACAATGATAATTATACCCAATGTATGCATATTTTAATACACTATTTAGATAGATTCTTCTTTTTCCATCTTCTTTTTTCATCAGATTTCATAGTGGTGTAGAATAGTCTTTTGAGAACATTTTCCAGAAAAAAATTAATGTGATATGACCCTCCGTTATGGAGTTATGAATTTTTTAGTTAACATGAATTTAGCCTTAAAGTTTTTCTTATTTCTGCTGGTTACATACCACTGACTTGGGCTGTTTGTCGTCACTTCACGGAAAAGGCGTATTGGACCATTTAAAGAGAAACGTGTGGTCGTCCATTCCTTAGATATACTTTCCATTCCTTTCACAGTGGCAGATTCAGAATTTTTTCAAACGTGGTGGCATCAGTGTATTCTATTTTTTTTTCTTATTTCAGTACCCAACTTTAATATGCACTAAAATTTAAAAATTTATTGTCAACACCACTACTGTACTGTGCACAGTGCACCAGTTCCAAATAGGCTGAGTTTTTTGGGGGTTTTTTTTTAACCAATTTTCTTTTTATTTTTCTCAAAAGTTCTGTTAATTCATTCTTTTTCTTCTTTTTTCATTATATTTTACTACTTGCCTTTCTTTTGTTTCTTTTTATTTTACATTTCTTTTCTTTCATTTCTTTTATTTATTTTTTTCTTTATCCTTTCATTTTCTTTATTTTTTGTTTCTTTCCTTTTTATTTTCGTTTGTTTTCTTTCTATACTTTTCATATTCTATTCTTTCTTGTCTTTCTTTATATTTTTTCTTGACTTCTTTTTCCTTTTCTTTTGTTTCTTTTCTTTTTCAAAACACATCTTTTTAAATTTTTAATTCTGCATTACTAAACACTGCATTTTTGTGCATTAGCCAACTTATATACATTTTAATGCTTTACAATTAGGTTGCAGATGCATTCCAAGTGCTTGTGGCCACAAACAAAGCCATCTACAATCAAAAGAATGGCAAGTTAAAAACCAGATCTGTCAACTCTGAGATACTCTACAGTATTTCACCATCAAAGAATGTAAGTTAATAATTTTACTTTTGTTGTACTCTTGTGCAGTTTGTTTAAACTCAATTTCCAGGAGATATATATAAGAGGTGTAGAGATACTGTAGGCAAATTATGAGTTTGAACACATATTCAAAACCATAATTTTCTTACAATATCTCTATTATTTGAGTGCACTATCAATTTTATATAAATGCTGTGTTAATAAATACAGAGCAACTGTTTGTGAATAACATTTATGTTATGTCTCTAAATGTATTTTATTTACATTTCTTTTATTCTGTTTTGACTTCATGGACATAATATCTACCTCAGGCTAGTTTTTGTATTATTTTGTATTTTTTTCAATATTTATCTTCTGTTTTGTATCTGTCTGTGTCTCTCATGTTAAGTGATTATCAATTTGTATGAAAATCAGTATTAAAGTTCATCATAGTGTACAGTACTTGGTAATTTCCATATACTGTAATTTGCAGGCCTGTTACTGTAGCAATCTTTGGATTCTCCAAACAATTTTAATTATTAAATGTTGAAG